ATTCATTGGGAAATTTTAATTTTTTTTTCTATTTTCCTTTTGTTGCTGTTTCTTAACCACTTCTTAGTTACTTATTGTTGTTGCTAAGTGCTGTCAAGTTGGTTCTGACCCATAGCGACCCTGTATAGGGTTTCCAAGGAGCAGCTGGTGAGCTTGAACTGCCGACCTTGCTGTTCAAACTGACTTTGCAGTCCGGCACATTAACCCACAGTGCTATACCAGGAGTCACTTACTAGCATTCCTTTTTATTTCTGCAAATTGATGAAAATTTTTTGAAACTTTTTATTGTGAATTGAGTGAAGGTTTACAGAGATCATAAGTTTTACATTCCACAAATGATACACTTTGTTTCCTCTCATTCATTGCAGTGCCCTCCATACAACAACAGTGATCCTGCTTCCTCCCTGTGCTTCCTAGCTCCATTCCACTCACTTTCCCTTCCCTTCCCTTCTCAACTTTGTCCTTAGGTTAATGTTGCCCTTTAGATCTTGAATGGTTGACCATTCCATGGTGAGCATACCTTACTAGTGTTGTTGTCCCCCTTATATATCTATCTACTGCTTAGTTAAAAATTGGGTCACAAAGGTGAGTTCCATTAGACCTGAAGGGTAGCCAAGGGACATAATTCCTCTAGCTTTCTCTGACCAATATGCTCTGTCTTTTTTTAAATAGTTATGAGCTTTGTTCCACAGTTTCTCCCACTCTATCCAGACCGTCTAAAGGGATCTCTTTCAGAACAGTTGGTAGTGGTAGCTGGGCACCATCTAGGTTTTCTGGTCTGAGAGTCATGGTGATTGATATTCACATGTTCCATTGGTCAATTGGACTAGTTGACTCCAAGCATCTAAACTGATTAACTTTTTGTTACTAAGATAATTAATTGTGAGTAATCTGAAAATAACTTTTGCCTGAATTTTAATTTGATGTTGTTAAGTGCCATCGAGTTGGTTCCAACTCATAGCAACACTGTATAAGCCATCTTATGCTGTAAATATTTTCCAGAGCAGAAAGCCACATCTTTTTCCTGAGGAGCAACTGGTGGGCTGAAACCATAGACCTTGTAGTTCATAGTCTAGTGTTTATCCTCAAGTACATCGGAATCAGGACAATGATAATTTAATAAGATTATCACACAGTAGAATAATTACTAAATGGAAATTCTGTGAAATGTCTAGTAATAGATGCTAACCTTTAGCTCTTAGCAGAAGTTACAAATGAAAATGCTAATAATTAAGAGGACACCTCAGCTTGGTAAAACCATAATTGGTAGTGTTCTGTGAAATGCTGGATCTGTTTGCCCATGCATTGTTCTTTCCATGTTTTCATTCAGTAAGCAATGTATTTCCTTTTTTCCACTTTGTGTGAAAAATGAGGATAGAAAACTCCCATAATTCTATACTTTACAGAAGTATGGAATGCATTCATCAGCTTAGAATAACCTCAACTTAAATTATTTTTCCTCATTTGGTCTTCATTGTGGGAAGCTTATAAACACTTGTATTTAAATGTAAGGCTTTTTACTTAAAAGAAAACATATGAGCTCCAGATGAAAGGTTAGTTAATGGAAATGCAAATGAGGAGCTTACTTTTATTACTTGTCTCATTATCTCTCTTTGGTGAAGTCATCTCCTTGTCAATTGTGCCTTTCTATAAAAAGAGAACTCCATTTACTGGTCTTGTAAAAAATGCCAGTAATGCTAATTTGTCAAACTCAGTCTAAAAATTGCATTCAAGATGATGCAGCCCATATCTAAATGAGTAAGGTTATATCAGTAATTTGCTGTGGCTTATTTGGAATTGTGGGTCAGCCTAAAAGTTCTGACTCAGAGGTAAGAACTCTGCTGAAGAAGTGTTGCAAGTGTTTAACCCAGAGGTTGCCGTCTTATCTGGCCCCCTCACTTATTAGTTGTTTTTCTGTTTTCATTGAATACGCATTAAAATTTTGGTGTTGTTATATTTGATGCCAACTCACAGTGACCTTATGGAAAACAGAATGAAACCCTGGTCCTGTTCTAAGCTCACGATCATTGCTTTGTTTGAGCCCATTGCTGCTACCTGTGTCACGCCATCTAGTTGGGAACATTTGTATTTTTCCCCGACCTTCCACTTTATCAAACATGATATCCTCTAAGGACTGGTCTCTCCTGACAATATGTCCAGAGGAATATCACACATAAATTTTCATGTTTCTTTCTTCAGTTGAAATCTGGCTGCACTAGGCATGTATGAGTTTACTCCTGCTGAGGAACAGTTAGTTGAAAATAACTATGCATTGTCACTTTTACATAAAGGTTATACTATCCAATGTCTTTATTTTCCTCTGATGAGGTGTCCCATGCTATTGATTTAGAGACTTGCGTTATTGCTTTCCTTTTACTCTGTATTTGTTTAAACAGGATAACTTAAAGTTAGAACAGGAGTGTCATACGGTTCCAGAGAAACATGGCAGGTATTTTTGTTTATGAAAGTAGAAATATTGAAAGGATTCAGCCAATAATGTTTGCATGCATTTAAAAGACTATATGCAATACCTTTATTCATATTATCTTCATACTGTGGCTCTATTAGTGACTGAGTTTCAGTTCAAAGCATTAATAGTTCCTAGTCTATCTTTGATTTGACTTTAGGTACAAATGGAACCTTCTCCAAAAGGCTTCAGAAGCTCTTTTCCAGCTTTCTTTCCAGAAGTGCGAATTTGCCAAGCAGTCCTTTTCTCAGATCTCATTAATTTCTTCCTGCTACTTGTCTGAATCATTCCTTTTATGGCTACAAATGGGTAACCTCAAACTCATGTACCAAAATTGCAGCCCAAATCTAACAGGATAACTAATTCATTCAAAAACTCTATTTAATATCTATTAATAAGTTTAATGTCTGTTGTAAGTGTGGGGATAAAGCAAAAACAAAATAGGCTCTGTTATGGTGAACACACCACATATATTCTAGAAAGAGAAACAGATAATAAATATACAAGCAACTATTATATAGTATACTGTTAAGTAAACAAGAACCATGAAGAAAAGTAAAGCAGAATTAGGAGATAGACACAAAAGTAGAGATGGAGAGGGAAGATACATTGATGTATCGTCACCTTCAGGGAGATAACTTTTGAACTGAGAACTGAATGTGGTAACAGAGAAAGCTATGGGACTGTCTGGAGAAGAGGAGTCCAGACAGGTCAGCAAGTGCCAGTGTCCTCGATGAGAAGCAGGCTTAGGGTTTTCAGGAGCTGCTATAAGTGAAGTAGGCTCAGGCCACTTCACCTAAGGGAATGTGTTGATGTTGTTTAGTTCTATTGAGTAGTACTGACTCACACAGACCTATAGCATTTCCAATGAGTGGCTAGTGGATTTGAACCACCAATCTTGCAGTTCAAACAGACCTTTCAGTCCAGTATTATCCTGAAGCACCATATCAGGACTCCGTAGGGGCTTGTGTGACTGTTGTTAAGTGTCCTCGAGTCAGTTCCAACTCACAGCAACCCTATATAGGGTTTCGAAGGAGCAACTAGTAAGTTGGAACCATCAACTTTGTGGTTCAAACCAACCTTGAGGTTGATTGCTTATTTTATTTTGTTGTTGTTGTTGTTAGGTGTCATTCAGTCGGTACCGACTCATAGTGACATTATGCACATAAGAAAGAAACACTGCCTGATTCTAGGCCAAACTCACTACTGTTGCCACACTTGAGTCCATTGATGCTACTACTTGACCAGTTCATCTCGTGGGGGATCTTCCTCTTTTTTCTTTGACCCTCTACCATACCAAACATGATATCTTTCTCCAGCGACTGGTCCCTCCTGAAAATATGTACGAAGTATGAGAGGTGAAATTTAGCCATCTTGGCCTCTAAGGAGCACTCTGGCCACACTTCTTCCAAAACAGATCTATTGGTTCTTTTGGCAACCCATGGCACTTTCAATATTCTCCTCCAACACCATAACTCAAAAAGCATTAATTCTTCTATGGTCTTCCTTATTCACTGTTCAGCTTTCACATGCATATGAGGTTACTGAAAATACCATGGCTTGGGTCAGGTGCACCTTAGTCCTCAAGCTGACATCTTTGCTCTTCAACACTTTAAAAAGATCTTGTGCACCAGATTTACCTAATGCAATACATCATTTGATTTCTTGACTGCTGCTTCTGTGAGTGTTATTCTATTTGTTGTTAAGTACTGTGGAGTCGGTTCCAACTCATAGTGACCCTGCACAGGGTTTGCAAGGCTGTAAATCTTTATGGGAGCAGAATGCCTCATCTTTCTCCCATGGAACCGCTGGTAGTTTCGAACTACTAACCTTGAGGTTGGCAGCCTGACTCGCAACCACTACGCTACCAGAGCTCCATATTATTCTATAGGTCATAATAAATTGCTGATATTATAATTTTAAGGATAACAGGAAGCCACTAGAGTCATTTTTAGAAGGGAATTATCAGATATAATTTGCTATCTCCAATCTAAACTCCAACTTCAAAGATCCCTGCATTGGGAGAGAGAGATTATATGAAATGAAACTTATCCATTAGAGTTCTGATTGAGTAAATAATGATAAATATAATTTATTTTATCCATTAGTAGCATCAGATTGTGTCCATATTGGATTTTTTTGTTTGTTTCCTTTGTTTTTTAAACAACATGTTATCTGGCAGAGAATAGAAATATAAATATTCTACATGACAATGATGAAAGTACTGTCATATATAAATGGTGTCTCTCTATCTCTGAAGACAAATAGGGTAAAATAAGTGGACTTGGTCTCCTTCAAATGATAAAATTTTACAAACTTTATATTAATTTATTCTAAATTGATTTATATTAATTGAATGTTCTGAGACAGTAAAATCATTAATCACATGGTTTTCTCCTTAGTAGGCAGCAAATGCACTAAAAATAAGTTGAGTTTCTTAGTATTATTTTTTTAAGTATAGAAGCTTTTTGATGATTACTAAAACAAAGTAACTATTTTGATTTATTAATTTTCTTTCTTTAAACATTTTTAGTGCCCAGGAGGAGCATTTACACCCAATATGCGAACAACCAAGGAGTTCCCAGATGATGTTGTCACTTTTATTCGGAACCATCCTCTAATGTACAATCCCATCTACCCAATCCACAGAAAGCCTTTGATTGTCCGTATAGGCACAGATTACAAGTACACAAAGATCGCTGTGGATCGAGTAAATGCTGCTGATGGTAGATACCATGTCCTATTTCTTGGAACTGGTAGGTATTTGAACTATGAAGTTTCATCTTTCACTTTAATGTTTAATATAAGAGTGTGCTATAATATTGTTAAGTGCTGTTGAGTCAATCCCGACTCAAAGTGACCTTGTTTAGGGTTTGTAAGGAGTGACTGGTGAGTTGACCATCGATCTTGTGGTTTCAAATCCAGTGCTTATCCTATAGTACCACACCAGGAGTTCAAACCTATGATATTGGAAGTAACTGAAAAGACTCCAATGTTTACTTCTTTCTAACCCACAGTGAGTTACTTAATATCCCAATGCCTCAGTTTCCACATCTGTAAGTGGAGTTAAGAAAATGAATTACTGCACAAAGTTGTAATGTAATGTAAGAGTACTAAATACATATGTAATACCTAGAACAAATTACATGTGAATATGTCTGGCACATATTATAGTGAAATAAAATAATCAGGAATTAAATGAAGGGACAGAAAGAAATTTTAAGTGAGAGTAAATTTTTCCTTCAATCAAAGAAAAGTTTAACATTTTCATAAATACACAGGGCCATATATTAGTGATAATGATAATGATAATGATAGAAACCATGTTGTAGATTACAATTGGAAGAGAATGTAGTAACTCTAGTATGGATGGCATTGTGCTTTTTAAATAATATAATAATTGTATCATTTTAAATAATCCATAAATTTTAATTTGTCAATTTACTTTAATACACAAGTTCAGTGAAAATCTTTTCATAGCCTTCATAATGTGGAATGACTAGCTTTGTATGTGCTACAGTGCTGATTCTCAAATTGTGATCCACAGACTTGCAGCACCAGCATTAGCTGAGCATTAGTTAGAAATAAGAATTCTTAGCTCCCTCCGCAAGAGTTCTGGAGGTGAAACCCAGCTGCCTGTGCTTTATTGAGCCCTTCCGGTAACTCTGACGCACAGTAAACTCTAAGAACTACCACTCAACAGAGAACCCTTTGCCTGCTGGTCAGGCAGTGTTGTTAGGTGCCATCAGGTTGGTTATGACTCATTGCGACCCTGTGTACAGCAGAACAAAACACTGCCCAGATCTGCAATATAATTAATATTATATTTCAAATGTCCCAGACTATGGTGCAGACTGTGATAAAAGGAAATCTCTTCATG